CACACACACACACACACACACACACACACACACACACACACACACACCCCTCCCTTACTAGACATGGCTTCCTCAGAAATTATCTGATGGGTCGGGAGCAGTTTGATAACGAAGGCTACCAAGTCTGGAATTCTGGAGAAGATTCCTATGGTCGGTTTATTATCTAAGTGACTGCTGATGATGATACAATACAGATTGACCTCAAGGATCACACATGTGGTAGGCCTGCCTTAACCACCCCCTAGTTTTGCTTTGGTTGTTTTTGTTTTGGGGGAGGGGATCCTTTTAAAAATATACTAGAATATCTCTATGAAGTTGTATTTCTGATTTTTCTTCAGTTCATATAAATGTTCACATTTTAGGACTAAAGACCACATGATGAAATCTTTTTGAAGCTTCAGTTACTAAACTGCACTGAGTGGGGCTGAAATCATTTTAGCCTAATTATGAAATGCACTGCAGAAAAAATATATATATTCCAAGGTATATATAATCCACTTATTTTCCTTGAGCAATCAAAAATTCTGTTTATTTTCTAAGTTTTGTCCTCATTACATCAAAATAACTTCAGACAAAGCATTCTTGTTGCTCCAGGATTAAAAGTTTCCAATAGCTCAATGTGGTTATAATCTTCTGGAAACACCTGAAATTGATTTGTTTCACCTCCTTTACTTTTTCTCTTCCAGCCTGTTCTCCTTAGTAAAATATTGATGGATAAAAGCACTAGCTGAAAAGCCAAGAAAGTGGATAATCCACTCCCTAGTTAATAAGGAAGGAACTATATGATACATGATGCTCAAAATTTAACATGTATCCAGAGCCTAAAAAAATACTGATTGGACTTGGTCTAAATAAAATGTTTCTAAAATAAACTTAACAAGTGGGTTTCTTTGTCATTGCTGTTTTACTAAGCATTCATGGAAAATTATATTTGGGTAAGCTCAGGCTGAAAACACTAGCTTTAGCTCTCAAGGAAAACATGAAAGAACAGAGAGAATTTCCTTCAGTATAAAACATTTTCTTAAATGTTTTTTACAAAACCAAAAATTGATATTTACCTGTAAGACTGATTTTCCAAATACTATTTATATATGTATTATTAAGCATCACACATAGATATACATAAACGTCTAAATTCAAATATCGAATTTCCTGGATTAATTACAGCCCCAGAGAGAGTAATGCCAAAACTTTTGAGGTTAGAGCAGACACTTCTGAGACTCAACAACCCACAGAGCTCCCCTTTACCCTCCAACTTTTCAGAGTGGCACTGAGTAGATGAACAAGCCCACTGCAGCGTGAAGGACTGGGCTTGCCTAAAGATATCTGACAGAAGCTGAACCTATGCAATAACTTCCTGTTCTCCAGAGACTGGAGGGTGTGCTTCTAAAGGCTGGCAGTTTACAGAACTTCCAGAAACCAAAAAATCAGCATACCTTTTCAAATATTTGTGAAAAAATTTTAATTTCAATAATACTGTTCATTATTATTATTCCCCAACAAACATTTACTGAATGCCTTATTACATATACAGAAAGAGGTATAAAAAATTTAACCCCAGGGTCTTCCCTGGTGGCGCAGTGGTTGAGAGTCCGCCTGCCGATGCAGGGGACACGGGTTCGTGCCCCGGGCTGGGAAGATCCCACAAGCCGCGGAGCGGCTGGGCCCGTGAGCCATGGCCGCTGAGCCTGCGCGTCCGGAGCCCGTGCTCCACAACGGGAGAGGCCACAACAGTGAGAGGCCCACGTACCGGGAAAAAAAAAAAAATTAACCCCAGACTACAAGGAGCTTAAATTTCCCTTAAAAGTCACCATTTTCTATCATTTCACATAAAATACTTCTTCAAGTAAGTCTGCTTGAACCTATGATGTATAGGCAATGCAAACTCAGATATTTAAATCATGGGAAGTTGGTCTTTAGCTCCCTAAAAAATTAGAGATGGATACATAATTGTGACTTAATAAAACCAAAAAACCGTACAATTTTGGGTTCCATTGGAGTATACATGAATTGGGAGGGAAACCTGAAATCCTTTCTTTAATTCCCTCTATATCTGGACAAGGGCCCTCGTTATCTCCTACTCCTATAATTACTTCCCTAAATCTGCTGAATTTCCTTAAAACCTGGTAAGAAAACTCCTGTCTTGGGGATAAGAAACCTTTTTTTTTCCCCCCTAAATGAGAATATACCAAGACTCCCAAGCAAAAAGTAATTTTCCTCATGTATACTGAGTTTGAGATGGGGTGGGGGGAGGAGAAAGGCAGGCAGATGAAATCAAAGGACCTCAAATAAAGATGAACCAAAAGATAGTAAACAGTAATTCTTATTCTGATGGACCTTGTTGAAAGCCACATCTAACTCCTGTCAAAAAAAAAAGCCCCACAAAAAAGTCTGCACACAATTCTGGACCCAAGTTAAGAATAGTTATACTACATTACATTTACATTTGATAACTGTATGTTTGCCTTTGCACTCATAAAATAAGGAAATTACACTCGGATGCACAGGTGGAGCTAGTCATATTTTCACTACCTATGCAATAACACATCAAGAACTTTCAAACACAATTCTAGGGAGTCAGGCCACTACTGAATTAAGGGAAGGAAAAAACCCCAGCATCTCCAAAGTCGCCCCTCCCCTGAGTGAGGAACAACTCAATAACTTACTGTTCAAGACCAAAGGAAAAGGAATTTTTTTAAAGGTTGGGCGAAGGTGAAATGGGGAAAGGATCACTGTGAGCTGTGACAGCAGATGATGCCCTCGACAAAAGGTGTAAGATGTGCATACCCATTCTCCCGCAGAGCTGACAGTCTCACTCACACTACCTTTCACCTTAAGAGTTTCCAATACATTGTCTCTACACACTTAAGAAAATGTGAATTTTGCTCTGACCACAGAAAGAATTAAGCACAAGTGACATCAGCTGTAAAGTAAGCAATTAATATATGCTAATCTAATGTTTAAGAAGGGATGGATACCAGGCAACAGCTCCTCCAACTGGCTGGATATCATTTGAAGCCCTAAAAATATTAAGATTTTTAAACAACTTCAAGTTCTGATGGGCACAAATAGACTGTCGAAACTTTAGGACGTACAGCAACGACACAACAGGTGAGAGAGGTGGTGGACATCATCGCCCAGTTAAGTGGATCACATGCAAAGGGCAAACCCTTGAGTTCCCCGAAAGGCTGGGGATGTGGGCTAATACCCATGCACAAGGCCATCCAGAGCCCCTGTCGTTCCAGTGGCAAAGGTTCAGTTCCTTCTCGAGGTCGTGCCACTCCCCCTGTCCCTCACACAGGGGACCACCACCCCAAGCACAGGAAGAACCGAGCCCCCTCCACGGGCAGCATCTCTGCTAGGGAAGAAAACACAATGTCGCTCCTTATTTCTGCGTACAAAAGGACTTTGCGCCCTCCTCCTCGAACTGCCGCCGCTGCCGCCTCCTAACTTGCAAGAAGGTGGGCAACGCGCCATATTCCAGCGTCCCTCAGTCTACCTGGGTAACAAGCCCACGCCACCCCGGCGGGAGGGAAGCTTCGGAGGTTGCCCGAAGAGCCAACCTCCTCTCCCGCAGGAGACAGCAGCTCCCGCGCCCCGGCCCAGCCCGCCGCGCCGCGCCGCGCCGCCCGCGGACCAGACCCGGGAAGGGCCAAGGAGGCGAGCTGGGAGCCGCGGCCCCCGTCCCGCGCAGCCCGCCCACCTCCCGCTCCCAGGCCGGCGCGCTCTCCCGGGCCTCCTGCTCCCGAAGCCGCGGGAAGGCCGGGCCCGGGCCCCGGGTTCCACGGCGGCGAGGAGGCCGCGGCCCCGAGAGCCTCAGGCGGCGGGGGAGGCCGGAACCCTGGGGCTCTCGGGAGGGCAGAGCCTCCCTCCCGAGCCCGCCAGGACGCCTGGGGCCTAGTGAGGCCTGTGCATCCTCGGGGTGGCGGTTTGACTGGGCCGGGCCAGGGCCCCCCGCCCGAGGCGGGCCGAATCCGGCAGGGGCCCAGGCCTGGAGCCGGGGGCGGCAGGGTGCCGGCTGCGGGGCGGGCCGGCCGGCCGGCAGGCGGGCGGCGTGTTGCGGCTGCGCCGGGGCTGAAATAGCTGGAGATTGCGCGGTAGGGCACTCACCTCAGAGCGGCTGCGCTACCGTGGGCCTGCGCCGTGGAGACTGCGACCGCGCCGGCTCCTCGCAGCCTCCTGCCACCAGCGGCAATGGCGAGCGCTGCCGCCTAAGCCGCCGCCGCCGCCGCCGCCGCCGAGGAGGGGGAGGGGAGGGAGAGGAGGCACGCACGCTACGCACGGGCTCGGCTTCCCCGCCCGGCCGCCGCCATGATGGGGAGGTCGGCACTGTCTCGGCGGGGCATCTCGGAGGGTGTTTGGGCTCGGCCCCCGGCCGTCCCCCGAGGTCTCCCCGCGTTCACATTTCCCTGTAGAGGTTTGGATGGAGCCGGAATCACGAAAGCAACTGTATTAGGGAAATGTGCACGCCCCGGGGAAGTAACGCAGGCGACCCAAGATGGTTGCTAATCTGTAAATAGTCACATTTCTCGCCCCCCAGCCCCGGGAAATAGGACCTCCTGAGCGTGCCTCGATAATCGGAGAGGGGCTTCCCCTCCTTTTCCTCCGCGCTGACTTGCCAGTCGCTCCCTCACCCTTTCTTTGAAATCACCTTTGCTTCCCTATTTCAAACCCTAACCAAGTATCTAAAAGCTAAAGTTTTTGTACAAAGCAATATATAAATGTTTTCTCTCATTCATTCGTTTGGCAGACATTTCCAGAGGGCCCATTCGGTGCCAAGTATTTTTCTGGGCGCGCTGGAGATGTACCTGTTAGGAAAAGGAAGTCCTTACTCTCATGAGCGATGAGTGGAGGGAGTCAGAAGCAATAGGGACCCCCCCCCAAGCAAGTGCCTGAGAAGTAGGGAGGGGTGGAGACTAGAAAAACTACTGTTAGAGACACAGGAGAGGTAGTTTTTGTTGTTCTTTGTTTTTTAAATTGTGATTTGGAGAGTACCTGCATCAGAGTCATTCAGACTGATTATTTAAATCCTGGAGTCCAAATGGTCTCTCCAGGATCTTGGCTTCTTAGCCCAGGAACCCGCATTTCTAACACCCCCCCCGTCCCACCCCACCCCCAAATACACACATTCTCCTGGGGATTGTCATACATACCCTAGTTTAAGAACCGTTGCTTTAGGGAATTACTAAACATCCCAAAGAGTGTCAAAAAACAATTTGACAAAACCAGGATACTTTAATTTTCAAGAAGATTCCATTTACCTCAGAATTCAACATAATTAAACACGGAATGTCTCTTTTGTCCAGCGTGTCTAAGAGATTGTCACCGCCTACCACCCAGGTGTTCAAGCCAGAAACCTAGGAGTGATCCATGACTCCTTTCTCCCTGAAGTGCCATTATCAGTTAGATCCTTTAAAGCAGTTGTTCCCTGTCATTTTTACCTTGGTCCAGGTGACTCTCATCTCTCATCAAGATACTGCAATAGACCCTTCATGGTCTCCCTGCCACAGGAATTGCCTTCCCCAATCCATTCTCCACCCTCCAGCTTGAATGGTCTTTCAAAAAAGTAAATCATGTCACTTTTCTGCTTAACAGGCTTAATAAGGTCCCATTACACATAAGTTAAAGTCTACAATTCTTTGAGGTGCCTGCAGGGCCCTTCGTGATCTCAGCCCCTGCTGCATCTCTAACCTCATCTGTCACAGACTTCTCCCTCAGGCTGCAACCAAACTGGGAAGCTCTCAGGTCATACAAGACAGGAAGTTCTAGCACCTCGCAACTTTTGCAAGGGCTGCTCTCTCTGCACAAAACTTCTCTGTCTTCTCCTTCTATTCATCTGCTTAAACCTGCCCCTGAATAATTCCTACTACTCCTTAAGGTCTCCTCTAGGAAATGTTCCCTCATTTCTCCCTTCCATCATCACACCCAATATTTACCACCTATGTTTATTGAGCCCTCGCCTTGTGTCAGGCCCTATTTTAAGTCCTTTACACACATTATCTCCTTTCTTATTTAATTCTCAAGTGGAGTCCAAGAGGTAGGTACTACTATTATTATTATCTCATTTTGCTGATGGAGAAACAACGGTATGTAGAGATTGCTTGCTAAAACCCAGACAGTAAAAGGTGGAGCCAGGTCTGAAAGCCATCAGCCTGGCCTCAGAGTTGTGCTCTTAACCATTACCATATTTTTTCAGACTGCAGGTTGATACCCACTGATGAAGCACAAAATTAACTTAGTGAGCCATGACCAACATTTCATGAAAGAAATAGAAAATATCAGAGAACGTCAAACTTAGTAAGACTCTTGTTCTATGAAACTCATTTCAGATATATAAATGTATGTGCATAGGTGTGTGTGTTTATGCTAGATCATGCTATAAAATGCACTTCTTCTTGGATTTCAGTTGCAAAAAAGTTTGAAAGCACTGCGTTATTCTTTCTACACAGTACTTCTCCAACCATGTATCCTCCACAATCCAGAAGCTGCAGGAGGGCAGGGATTTTGTTTTGTTCATGACCATATACCAGCATCTTGTGCAATGCCAGTCTCATAGTAGATCTTTAAAAAATTTTTTTATTATCATTTTTAATTATTATTATTATCATTTTTAAATTTTTTTAGGCCATGCCGTGCGGCATGCAGGATCTTAGTTCCCCAACCAGGGATCGAACCCGTGCCCCCTGCATTGGGAACATGGAGTCCTAACCACTGGACTGCCAGGGAGGTCCCAGTAGATCTTCAATACTCATATGATAGAAGACCTCTGTGTCTACCCTCCTCAGAAATACAAATTACAAAAATAAATAAAGAAAAAGAAATACAAACGACATTGGCTTATTGCCCTCACCATATGAGGGGGTATAATTCTAGGACCTCCACAGATACCAAAATCCCAAGATACTCAAGTCCCTTATATAAGATGGCCCACGTAGTATTTGCATAGAACCCACCCACATCTTCCCATTCTCCTGTATACTTTAAATCATCTCTAGATTACTTATAATACCTAATACAATATAAATGCTATGTAAATAGTTGTAAATACAATGTAAGTAGTTGCTAGTGCATGGCAAATTCGAGTTTTGCTTTTTGGAATTTTTTGTATTTTTTCTCCACATATTTTCGATCTACCGTTGGTTGAGTCCGAAGATGAGGGACCTGTGGATACAGAGGACCACTGTACTTCCCTAGACAAGTGAGCCTGGGAACCCCAGTTGCTCTATTCAAAAGACTCAAAATGACCTGAGATTCTAGAATCAGTCTCAGAAAAAATGCAGACAAATCTACCGTAAGAGATTAAAGAAGAGCTAGATTCCAACAAAGTTGGAATGGTCATTTGATTGACTGGTTACCTATAAAAAAATTATACTGTGTGCTAAATACCAAGTGAGTGGTGATACAGATAGTAAGCACTCAGGTAATCAGAATTGAAGTCATGTGAGAACTCCTAGGGGGAGATAGAAACAAAGAGAGATGAGTTGGGGCAACTGGGGACTCTTCAGGACCCACTGATAAACTGCGTGGAGTTCCAAGAGCAGCAGCAGCTTCCCCATCTCTGCTTAGGAATGTGCACAGCCCCAACCCAATAAGGATGGATGGGAACCTGACACTGTGGGAGCAACTTCAAAGGAGTTTTACCTCTTTGGGAACGTCAAGGACTGGCCCAAGCAGGGTCTGCATTTCCACAGAGTGCTAGCCCAAGTGGCCAGAGCACATGCTTTCAGAGGCCACAGGCCACTACTGGGGAGGCATGTTGCATCATAACATGGGTGCTGCGGTCAAATTCTTGGTTTAAAGCCTGGCCGTACCACTTCCTACCTGTGAGACTTTGGCAAGTGGTTTAACATTTTAAGCTTCCTTTTCTTCACCCATGCCATGGAAATAAGGAGATAATATTCACAAAGGACTTAACGACAGTACCTGGCACCCAGGAAGCACATAGTAAGTGCTGGGTATGACTAGCTCTTCCCATTACCATTAATCATGTAAATTGCTTGGTACAAAATACAGGTATGATAGGTGGTGGCTGCTGTGATGGTGACGATGATGATGATGAATAAGTGTTCCTGAACACATGTTTCTATCCCTGGGGACTCCCCAAAAAAGTTGGGAAGAGCTTTCAAGGGATGCCAAGACAAGGGATTTGTGTAAGGGAGCAGTGTGTAACAAGGTTAGAAATGTCAAGATGAGTTCTTTTATACCTAAGGGTGATTTGTGGGAGAGGGGACAGAAAAGACTATTTATTGTTACTTGTTTTTTTTTAATTAATATTTGCTATATTAAGGTAACAACTTAAAAAACCCATCTTTCCTTACACCTTTAAGGTTAATTCATTAATCTCATCTATTTATATATCTAGGGAGTTTTAACAATCATTTTCAAAGGGCCCTCCTCTCACTGAACCCAAGCTCTGCTGATGATCCCCCATAATATATATCTCCTGTTCCAAACTGTTTCCCGTGGGTCTGCCCTACACATGAGACTTCAGACTGTGACCAGGAGCTCATGTCATACAGCAGCCATAATTTCAGTAGGTTAAAGCCTGTCCCCTGTATCTTCCCTCAAAGCTCCTCCTCCTGTGGTCCCTGTCTCAATTCACAGTGTCTATGGGTTATACCATCTTAGAATCTTTTTTTTACATGACTTGTCAGTTCAATTCAACACATATGTATTGAGCACCTATTAGGTACCAAATGCCTTGGTGCTGGGGTTACAGTGGGAAACATGGACCTTGTCTTTCTTGCGAAGAGGCTGATTAATGCTCCTTCAACTCAATTGGAATACACTAAGGTCCCTTAAATAACTACTTCACTTACAACATTGTCAATAAATTTCCCTAAACATTTTAATCAGCATTTATATACATAGTATATTCACTTTGCCTTTTAAATATGGTAATTAAATGCCTGATCTAACAAACAAAACGTCCTCATATACTTAGTAACAATAACTTATTTATTGAGCATTCATTAAAAGTCAAACAGTATTGCAAGCTCTCGTATGAATTCATTCATTCCCGCGCAGCAACCTTATGAAACAGGTACTGTTATCATACTTATTTTACAGGTGAGAAAACCAAGGCAAAAAGTTCAAGTTACTTGCTCTTAGTCAGATATCTAGCAAATAGCTATTAATTGAATACTCTTATAAATCTAATATATTAAACTTATAAAGGACGTCAGATTCTCTTTCAATATTATTTGCACACTAGTAAAAATCTCTAACACGAGTCCAAAATCAATTATTCAGTTACATATCTTACGTTGGAATCACAGGCTAATTTGTCAGATTCTCTAATTAATACATTATCTAAATCTTACAAACATTGAAAATGCCAAATTAC